AGACGAACCAGGTGGTAGGGGACGAAGCAGACGCAGAAGACGCTGACCAGCACCAACATGTTCCTGCGCGATCTGGCGAGCTTCTTGGACCCGATAGACGCAGGCTGCTTCTCCTGTGCCGCTGAAAGCTTGCGAGAGGTTTTGTAGTAGAAGAAAACCAGGCAGACGAGGACGGTTACAAAGATGGTGGCCGAGAAGACGTGGATGATTTTGTAAAGCACGTTGAGCTCTTTACTGTGCATCTCATCACAGCTCACTTTTGTTAGTGTTTCATTTCCCGGCTTTTCTGTTGTAAGAGAGACCAGGATGTAGGAGCTCGTCACAGTGATGAGGAAGACCCAGGTGAGGATGGATGTTATCTTAGCACCTCGTACTTTCTGCAGCATGTGATTTCCCAAAGGGTGGACGATCTTCAGGTACCTGCAGGGAGGAGAGAGCCGTCAGTGTGTGAGTCAAACCAACTCTTTCACCTCCTGAAACCAAAGCTAAGCATGTTCATCCAGTGTGGACTCATGTTCTCCCAGCCTGCACTTTCCACCGTGTCTGCAGCCACTTCCTGTTGGACGATTATGCCCCAAAGAAAAGCTTCAACCTATAAGCTTTACGCACAACTTCCTCTTCAGGAAGGCAGGAGGAGAGGGAGCATTTCAATGAAGACAGTAAACCCTTTATTCACAGGGACATGGCTGATGAAGTAGACTGATAACTAGATTCTAGTCTGTTCCCCCAAACTTTGAAAACGACTTCATGTCCACAGTTGTTTGGACTGATCCAGATCTGTGTGATTCGAACTGGAGACGCCTCTTATTAAACTCACTGTGACACGGATACAGCGCTGTATGGGTTCACTGAGTCTGACAGGGTCTGAAGTCTGCAAAAATAATCAGGTCAGGTAGGGTGTGAGCACATCTACCGTATTTTTTGGACTATAAGGCGCACTTAAAATCCTCTAATTTTCTCAAAAATCGACAGTGCGCCTTATGTATGAATTCTGGTTGTGCTTACTGACCTCGAACAGATTCTACGAGCTACACGGCGCTCAAACATCTGTCAAAGATGTTTTAGGACGACTTTGCTAAGCTACGAAGCCGCACCGCTGGATTGTTGGAGCATTACGGCTATCGTAGGCAGGAGGAAGTGGAGGAAGCACGAAGAATGAGTTGAGTACAGTTTGACTTATCTGACTGTTTTGTTTCGCTGAATGCGCCTTATAATCCTGTGCACCTTATGGTCCGAAAAATACGGTAATCTGGCTGTTCCAGCTCTCCCTGGGTTTGGGGTTTTCCATTGGTCCGTCTCAGAGTGGGTCTAAAACTTTTCAGGTGCAGCAGTAACAGCCGAGATCGAGTGCAGATGCACCACAGTGGTTTAAGCAAAGTCGACCGTACACAAATGTTAAATGCAAATGCACTGATGGTGTTTCACTACTTAAATGACCCTCTTGATGTGTGCGTGTTTGTGTAATATGTGTAAATGTGCTGAGTCTGTGATGAACTGTGTTGATTTCATTCTGCTGCTTCAGCTCTGACCACGGAGGCAGAAGTAGCATCGACACCACATCCTTTGCTTTTTAATCACGTATGACAGGATCCTGCTGATACCTTTGTGCAGCTGCAGAGACAACACGCAGCGTCACACTGACCGCCCTCAGGTGAACTGACAGCTGCTAGGATCAGGCTCGTGTCTACATCTGTACCTGTAATTTTCTCCTGTTTAGCTGATAAGCCAGAGTTCATAAAATACTTGCTAGCCCTCCTAAGTGATTCACTGCTCACCTGGTGGATGTTACACAGTCTTACCATCCACCTGGTGAGCACCGCCCTGCCCAGGATCAGGTTAGGGTTGTATTTTTGGACTCCGGGGTACCTGGAGAGGTAACGCGCAAGCGCCACACTGGATTTGAACCCTACTCATGCTCATGCTGAGACCTAGTTATCGGGCGATGGCGCTAATCGCCGCGGCGCGCCTGCACATCGTGGACTGTTTATGGTTTTTACAAAAAAAGTCTGTCATGTATGCAGCTGGCGCTCAGCTCGGCCCGAATAGAAGCCAGACAAACGTAACCGCGTTCGATTTCCTTG